TAGTATGAATCAAAAACGCGAATGTGCACATTTATCTTGTTAAAACTGATGAAGTGCGATGTTACCAGACCCAATGCCCAAAGGTTGAACAAAGATGAGTGTGCTGTGTGATTGCGGCACGGGAAAAAAGTCCTTCCTCCATGTCATCCTCATTCACGCGCCTAGAAGGAGTGTAGAGTAAGGGGCGAGACCTTTATTAGTGTTAAACATAATCTGAAGCAGTCAAGGATAACAGGATGTCGACCTGTGGTTCAATGCGGCTGGATTCGTTCTGGACGAAGGACCTAGAAAGCTCTAAACCCGGTAAATCACCATAGCTGATAACGGCAACGGTCACAACTCTAGAGCATTAGGAGAAGGTGTGATTGTAATTGGTTCATAACTCTCTCCATATTATTGCTAATGCCCGTGTTTATGTACTTGACTAAAATTTTACCCTCCCCGGTTGATAATATTAGAACCCTGACTTTGTTCAAGCGTTGAGAAAGGACTTTGGGTCTGTCTTTTAGCGTTCACACCCTTGAAATCTCTGCTTTAATTTAATTCGCTGTTGATGAAGCTGATCAGGCAATCTCTAGAGCCCAAAATCATTGATTTGGAGTTGGTCGACCAAATAACGAAAGGCGAATCAGAATAAATTGTAACTTGTTTATTACAAATTGATGACAACTTGAGCACGAAATGTAATAGTGTAAGATCACTGCTCGAAGATGAACCTCCGCATGGTCTTTACGGTCCCAGTGGGAGGTAGTCCTAGCCTTGATGCCGCAGTGCTGCAAGTTGTCGTAATGGAATACTTCTGTAATCAATAGTGCAGTGTGCTTTAGGCCTGATGCAGAGAAATCGAAATGAGCCCGGCCTTGCATCGCCTTTCCATTAACCGGGTTGAAAAGACACGCCAAGCTGTTGCATTGAGGCGAGCCTAGCCTGGGTGACCAGGTGACAGGCTAAGATGGAAGGCAAAGAGGAAGGTCAAGAACAGAGTAGGGCAGGGATTCCACGTGTAAATGGCATGTCAGTTGACCCGTGCGCTCATAGTAGGATCTTATTCCACTTGGATTAATCACACCAGCTTGAATCTGCTACATGGATCCTGGGGCAGAAAGCAGTTGTAAATAGTCTGTTATAATGGGTTAGGCCAACTCGCTCTGCTATAATGTACCATTACTCGGGCAGGATGTGAGACAGAATTTGAGCCCCTGATATCAAAACGGCTATGCTTGTACGAGTTGTGCAAGGAATGAGACGGCATGATAACCCTCACAAGTGAACCGACATGTTGCCGGGTTTGCAGGGCAAAATCGAGAACTTTGGGTCTTCACCCTTTTACCAGAGTCATGTTCGCGATGAGGTAGATAATAATCTAAGTCTATGAAGTCTGTAGAGGGTTATTTGACTCTCATTTATCACTATATTTCACCGTGACATCCCTGGTGCGCATGATCCCATGCACTGGCTCCATCTTCTGCAATATAATTTCCTCGCTATTCGCGTCGGATGGCATTCCATAAGCGTAGACGCCGTCAGCATCGGCATCATCCGGCGAAGCGGCATGTGATCGAGCGGTGTGGACACCAGTGTTCATGGACGACGATTGCGAGTCTCCAAGATGGATGTTGTTCACGCGAATATCGTTCTTAGTATGTCGTTCGAATTCATCCTCCATACTTGTATCGGCGATGCCTGTGCGCCTCTTGCTATTGGCATACGCACTGCTGCCACCTCTTGCGCCACCCAGAGGAGTCCGATCGCTTCGGATGTATTGTTGGTGGCTAGGATAGTAACCGGCAGAGCTATTGATCTTCAAAACTCGTCCCACGAGGGGCTTGAGGAAGGAGGCGCAAGCTGCGATAATGCCAATATCGAGTTGGAGACTGCTCAGAAACGATGGTGAGCAGAGATCCTCATCAAATTAGGGCGTTGTCCTGCATTTTGGGGAAGGGATGCCTATTTCTTTTGGTTGTCTGTGTCCAACTTACTTTTGCCAGAAATGGACCCAATAATCGAAAGTAGCGTCTGGGTCACCGCCAGTGGTGAGCATGAATACGGCTTTCAAGATTCCCATCAAGATGGCACTAGGATAGAGTCGGTCAGTTCAGTGGCGTCTTGAAGGACATATATATCTGCAATCCAATGTCACTAACAAGTATCCAAGATTTAGAATCCCTATCACATATAGCCGAACTCGAAGTTTCATTTTGAGGTGCCAAATGATAGGGATGGGAAGAGCTCCGAGACACACATCGGTCATAATGTTGCAGGCTGGCAAATAGCTTGTCAGCATTATTGATACCCTAAGAAGCCATTGCGATGTAGCGGAGAGAACTCACAGATGTTCCAATAGACGAGATCGACGAAAACGTTGAAGTCGTGACACCTAGGGTCGAATGGATTCATCCACTGAAACTCCCACCAACCCGAGTATGGCGTGCAATAAACGAATAGCCATGCAATCGCCTGGATGGAGTATGCAATGACAAACCCTAGAGAGTGAGGGAATAATTCAGTCAGACTTCGTACAAGCAAGAAGAAGCACGCCTAGAGTAGAGTTAGGAGCGAAATACCTATGATTGCGTAGAGTGACCACCGATACCACTTTAGCTCACGATTCAGACGCAATAGACTAATCGCCATGGAGATTCTGAGAAGCCCCAAGGCAACTCCATCTGATAAAACAGTTTTCCAAAATGATATATGTTCGAATTTGACTCGATCTTCGACTGGTATTGTCAAGCCATGGTGTCCCAGGCCATAAGGTATTTGGAGTACCAAGCAGATCCAGGAGCCCAGTGCAAGGGCCTGCGTATATTTCTGGTCAGCAATGTCGCGGCAGGCTCGTAATCTATATAAGGAATCAATAACAGGTCAGAACTCACAGCGGATGCAATGATGAGCGCATCGTCAACACCGAAAGCCCTGACCAACACCACCCTAACATATACACGCAAAGAGACAAAGGTGAGGGCGATGAAGTAGAAAACGCCGACCACCCCAACGATCCTGCCCGCATTGCTGGCCTTGACGTACTCAGGGGGGAACGTGTCCATAGTAATGTTCGTTCATCAACAAGATCTAAGAGATGTGAAGGAACATGACCGCTGGTGATCGACACTCTGCGGTGGGTCCAACTCGATTTTAAAAGACTTGACTGTGTAGATGTCTACATATGGACAGGCACCCGCCATGTGGGCATATCGATGCCCCTGAAGGCTTCGCAAGCAGCTGCCCAAATTTGCATTTTCCACACTAGCGATACTGTTGCTTTCAGCCCTCAGGTCAGAGGAAGTGCTACGTAACAGGGGCAAGCTGGCTGGAAGAACCAAGGGGAGGGCCTGCTACATACGGCGTGGAAAACATCCATCGAAAGTTAGTCCATGTGCCAAGCTCTTGCTCTGTGACATGTTCAAGACTGTTGCTGCGTGCTGCATCTACCACGCCACAGCCCATGTCCCCTGTGGCACAGCCCACCTTCCGGGCCGATCAACCGTTCTTTCTTCTCCTTTGTTCCTCAACGAAGCTATTGCACCCGATCACGTAGAGAATTAAAGAGAAATGCTAGCATTTCAAGAATTCCATTCTTCGTCCTTACAGTTGCACAATCTATGCTGCATGTTTCCAGCACGTAAAGGCGGATGATCAGCGGTACTTTTGTTGTGGTGATCCTGGTGGTTGATGCGACTAGTTCAACCAGGATTGTGCGGAACTGGGCCGGTGGTTCCTGATCGTACTAAGAGATGTACTGCACAACACTATCTAAACCGGCCCCTTTCCCCCACAGAGTCCGGCCACTCGGCTAACGCGGGTCAACCTTGGCCTTCGCTAAATGGGATTACTTTTACATCTGGATCCACAGAATATTCAAAAGAACACGATTAACTTATGGAGAGTCGACACAGGTGATAACGTTAAATCGGTGTTGGTTTCAAAACGCGGCCAACGCAGCATTGTGATTCGCCTCACCCCTGGCTGCGAGTTCTCGGCAGATTAATTTCTAAAGTGAAAGGATCTCACTAAAATTCACGCATATCAGATTTCAAAGGCGATTATCCGGGCATCTCTTGCTCAAGATAGATCATACAGAGAGCATTTTCGAAATGGCCATCCCCAAATCTTTGTGGAGCGCAAAAGCCATTCAAGTACATCTTGATGGCGAGATTTTCCTCGATCACAAGCTAGTGCAGACGAAGGATGGACGGGGCTTGCTGCATGGAAGGGGGCACCTCCCTGGACCCTGTGCAGCGAAAATCGATATGGAGCAAGGGTATTGGTTGGCCCACCAGGATGCAACCTGAGAGGCACCGAGAAAGCAAGACAAGACAATAGTACAGAATAAACCAGCCGAAATATGCTCATTTGTTTAGGAGCAGGCCTGTATGCAATCTATGCTAATGCTGTCGCCGGTAAACCGGAGGAATCGGGTGAGTAGATGGCTGGTTTGGCCTTAAAATCTCCGATGGTCCTCCAGAGCAGTACCTGACATGTGTTCCATCTCATTGCCGATCACCTGTGCACCACAGCAACACTGCAGTAGCCTCAAGCATTCCCTCACGGTACTGTGCATACGAAGCGTGGCGCTCTCTGACCAGCATGTTCAGCGGCAAGACATCTGCGGGCTTGAGCCTCGTAACCACACTTCTCGTTCAAGGGGTTACAGCTGGCCCAGCTGGCTCGAACTGCTGCAGCCAGACCATCTCTCGAGATGTGGTAGTGGTCGGAGGCGGAGCGGCCGGTGCTCATGCCGCCGTGTGGTTACGGGATCATGGCAAGTCTGTGGTGCTTGTGGAAAAGGCTAGCCAGCTAGTAAGTCTTCATCTATAATCTTACGTCTCCGTTCTTTGTTAGAACCGCTCGGCTGGTAATATCCTCTGCTGTTACTAATTTGTCCGACCTTACAGGGTGGCCACACAAACTTCTATGATGACCCGGACACGGGCAAGGTCATCAATGTTGGAGTGCAAGCCTGGATGGAGTACAAAGACACTTTCGACTTTCCCAATCGCATGAATGTATCAACAAGTGGGTCAATGCAGTTCACTGCGAATGAGAACAAATGGATCGATTTCAATACCGGACTGCCTGTCGCTGGTTATGTCGCCCCTGGGGCAGAAGACCTGTATCCGGCTCTGCAGAGGTATCTCGATGTCCTCGAGAAGTATGAGGATTTCTTGCTACCCGACTATTCCAAATTCCCCGAGCCAACATCCATCCCAGAGGATCTGCTGATTACCTTTGGCGAGCTCGTGGAGAAGTACGACCTTGAGGCTGCTGTTCCCCAGATTTGGGACTCCACTGCCCAGGGCCTTGGTGACACCATGGGTGTGCCTGCGATCTGGGTAATGCAAGCAAGCACGACCCCCATGGTCCGCGCGTTGCTGGGGACAGCCGCTGCAGCTGTACCACCCTCTGGCCGCCTTTATGATCTTTACGAGAGCGTTGCCGAGTTTCTCGGAAATGATGTTCTGTATTCAAACACGGTCGTTAGGGCGACCCGACAGGAAGGCAAGGGTGTTTATCTCACCACGAGCGATACCAACGGCAAGATATCTTGCATCAAGGCCAAGCGCCTCCTCATTGCCTTTGAGCCCACCGCCGAGAACCTCAAGCCATTCGCCATTGACGAGACAGAGGAGGACGTCTTCAATGAGTTCGAGTATTCTACAGTCTACGCCGGCATTCTACGACACCCATCTCTGCAGATCTTCACTGCGTACTCTAACAGGTCCCCGGCTCCCGGATCTACAAACTACACCGTCTTTCCCGTCGCCTCTCAGGTTGGGCGCATTGACTATCTTGGTGGCACGAAAGATCTGTTCCAATTTACGGCCGTCGGTACTGAGGATGAGACAGCCGAGAGCATGAAAGAACTTATTGCTCAGACCATCGACACTCTGATCGAGGCAGGAACTATTCCTGCATCCAACGGCACCCTCGAATTTCTCACCTTTGCGAACCATGGCAAAATGCACCCTCATCTATCGGCTGATGTTCTTCGCGGCGGCTTCATTCAGAAACAGCTTGCCCTCCAGGGTCGTCGTTCTACCTGGTTCACCGGATCAGCCTTTTCCGCTCCCTTCTCGACCGTCTTATGGGAGTACAATAATGTCCTGTTGCCCAGCGTGATCGAGGGAATATAAGATAGGAACCAAACTGACGTGATGTCCTTATGCTGTCCTCACAGCCTTACAAAATGAGAGCATATACCTAGAATTATAGATCATACTATTCAGCTTCCTTTGTAACATCATACTCAGTCAACATAATTATGGACATCGGAGAGTTTAAGCCGTTATCAATGACACATCATAATATCTTCACAATTTTCGATTTAAATCGACTTCTTCGTAGACAGATCTACCTCTTGCTTCAGTTCGAATCAATCAATCCCGGTCTTCCCAGATCATCAATTACGGTGAGAATTTGTTCAAGCCACATTAAAGTTCGGATCGTGCTTCTCTAAACCTGAGACTAGATATTTTGATATCATGTGACAATAGGCATGAACCATGCTGCGCACACTGGAGTTGGCATACTGCCCTCCTATCAAGACTACCAACCTTGAGCTCTCCCATCTTGACGACTGCAGTCGTGTGATTGATCCTTAGACTTGGACAGCCCTTACAGCTAAAGTCATGTTGCTCAAGAACTCCTGAGTTTTCAGTACCTGAGGCCTCTTGAAAGCGATTCGCTCCTCTTCTAGAGTGGAGTCAATTTCTATTGCGTTCAAGACGTAGGTGGCTGGCAAAAACAAACGTACCGAAGAAAGCCTTGACCCATTTCTTAGGCGCAGCACCAGCATCGTGGTCCCATACTGTAGCCAGATACAGTCCGGTTGTGCCGTAAGTACCTAATTGCTGCGCTGCGGAAGCGTTGAAGGTTGGGTTGGCCGCCATGGCATCCTTGACACGCGCAGCACGCGCTTTCGCCGCTGACTCGACAGTGACATATTTCTCTTTCTCGTCCTGGTAAAGACGCAAACGGTGAGCCATGGTTGCCCAGATCTTGGGATCAAAGTGGAGGTCGTCTCCCGAGTAAAAGTCGTTTCGGGACAAAGACCCGTCGAACTCAATTCTGTCGTGCGCCTTGAGATCTTCAAGATGAAATGTTTCGTTAGGAGTGTCTGATGTCGAGATTTGGAAGTCGAATACCGCCTGCACTGCATCGTCGAATAAATGAGTCTCGAAGTTATAGCCTCCAGAGATAGCGTGCTGAACCGCTTTCAGGTCAAGATTCTTTCCAGAGCGAGGAAGCCAGCCATGGTTTGCTAAGGCATTGAGTCCGGGGCATGGCGAGCGACCTGTGGCAAGTACACAATATGGTTAGGTACTGAAATTCAGAATGTATAGTAGATGGATCATCTATATAAAGTTACTCACTATCGTCCTGCTTAGGTGGATGCCAGTCGTGATTGGGAACGCAAGTTGATGCTGCTAGGCCGAGAATGCTAGCGACCATCATAACTTGGTGAATCTGCATAGTGAGACTATATCAACGAATCCTTGACTTGGGTAGTAGGTTTGCGATGTTCAAGTGTCAAAGACTCGACAAACATGTATGGTTCCTGGCGCACCTGATTTAAATATGCGATTTCTCAAGCATTCGGACTAGAGGGAGACCTCCCCAATCTGTCGTACGCATATCAAATCGATGCCGTTTGATTGTTTCCTGACGATCAAAGCGTATTCGCTACTGTAAATTCGTGGCATTCGAACCGCAGTAAACGCTTCTAGCGAATACGCTGTTGGCTCCCTTCCAGTCGGACAGTCGCATCTCGCCAATCAGCCAGCACCTAATTGTCATGGCGCCCATCAATTTAAGCTAATATCAATGGTTTCCTTTGAATCACAACGGTTTGGTGCAAGGCGGCAGACAATCTCGGTTGTCTAGGAGATATAGATGCACGAAGCGCATTGTTTTGCGCACGCAGGGGGCAGTAGCCCGAATCTCTATACGGTGCAAGGCAATATATGTCGTCTGGCTGCGTCATCGGCAGAGATAAGCGCTATAAAGATACGAAAGCAAACTCCGAAGGGGTTTTGTGACTACAGAGAAGTGGTGGCACGAGCATTGTAAGCACTACAATGTGTTATTTACGGAGTAATTACTATGTGGAGTACAGTAGAGCAAACACCAGGATTATATTGCACTATTTGTAGAGCTCGCAAGATTCAGATTGTATACGAAATACAAACATTGTCTTCCCAACGACCAATGAATAAATTTGACTGGCCTCAACACGTGCTCCAACACCTACCAGATAATTAAGGGCTGTCGGTGGTGTGGCCTCATTTGCGATGGTTGGTCAAGACGAATAATCACTCATATTTTAAACCCGAAGCTGCGCAGCAAACCTGGAGCCTTGGAAATCTCGTTTCTCTACCTCTTTTATCTTATAAAATACAGTCAACGTTGAAAGTTAGCCAATCTACTACCCACCCACTGCTAAAGCCCTGCGCTAAGCTGCTAGCTAACCTGAACCTTTGGGGACCGCATACCCGACCTTGCTTAGGTAAAACCCCCTACCTTAACACGCCCGCAGAACCTTGATTCACTTACAGCACGCTTTTGAGCTCTGTTGTTGGCAGCTTTGGGGGCTGTGGCCTTTGGTGCGGACCATCGTGAGCTGCTCAAAAGCGTAGGCAACTTTCAGCAGAACACCGTCAGAGAACGGCTTGCTGACGAAGGTCACGGAAAAATTGTGTCCAGGCAATCAGCATCGTGGCCCACATTCGCCAAGCTCATATCCTGCTGATGCGAAGATGGAGAAGACTCACGGCATTCCAGGCCCAACCTTGATCAGATTTGGCCAGCCTGAATCCTTCTTGACTGGAGAACCCTCGGGATAAAAGCCCATTGGCACTGCGATCACAGGAGCCCCCAACATGGCCGAGAGATCATTCGTTGTCCCAACGCCAAGGGTACCATGAGGACATTAGCCTCATACTTTTCCATTGCTCCGGTGATAGCTCCTTTTAAGCTCAAGCTATTTCCTACTTGAGAGTATTCTTGTATTGATCACTGTCGGTGTCAATCGCGTGCTCCTAAGCCTATAGAAAGTTCTTGATGTCCCGCTTAAGATAGTCCTCGTCCTGGCAAGTTTTTGTGAAATTTATGATATTGTCGGCTAAATGGAGATTATTAGAATTAGTCTGCAGTTTGCTGAGATAAAGAGCAATGTCTTATTTGAAGTGAGCTGCCCGCAAAATATTCTTGTCATCTAAACTCAGATTGTAATATCCGTCCAGATCTGGATAGTTGGCATTGTCTACAATCTTCACACCATACCCCTTATTGAGATGGCTCGTTTGGGGAAATTAATTGTCTCGAATCGAAAAGCACTTTGATTTAAACAAGAAAGTGGTGTCTCAGACAGAAATATTTGATAATCTCATACTATTGATGGTTGAATGATTCAGTGACTGCTCATTCTTGATCAAAGGTATGTCTATAGCAAAGACGGTATCATTGTGTATCCCATAGTGAGACTATTTTTTGTTGATATGTAATGCCTCCTTTACCTTCTCGACCTTTGATGTTTGCTTCGGAGCTTCTCCGAGCCCGTACGACTTCTTTTGTTCCGGATCTCCCGAAACTGGGTTGGACTGATTGCCCTGAGCCTAGGAGTTATTGTAAACTAGTCATCCTCTGTCTACTTGAGCCTAAACAACTCACCTTGTTCAAGTCGTCCTCAGCATGTTGAATAAGATCATGCTCCGCAACAGCGGCTTCGTCTGTGATTCCGCTCATAATGGCAGTGCAGCTCTCTGGATTCCAAGTTGGCCAAGCGTGAAGTTTACGTTTGTAGTTTGTTAGAGGTACTTCAAAATTTCAGGAAGTGAGAGGGAAAGGAGGTCTACAGAGATCGGTATCCCTTGGAAACTATATCAATCCAAATACTTTACCTTCATACGTCATCTCTATTCATGTTCAGTAAGACGTCAGCAGATGATGTGCCCACGACGTCACTTGCAGGTGATGGTGTGTTGGCAGCAAAATATAATTGATTCGCGATATCCCCGCACCAAGGATCAGCAAACTCAAATACGCCGTACCACAAGGCAATTATTGTTATTGTCCCGTGATATCCCACCGAAGCTCTTTCATTCGTACATGGTCGCCACAGATAATGAGCAATTTACTAATCCAGTGACCACGGAATATACCGTAGAGGAACTAGTGATGTCAAGTGAAGAAAGCGACTTATGTGTGGTAGACAGCTTGCAGACGCGTCAGGTTTGCAGATATGCATCCGGAAACTCCCTGAACTCTCGCATAATCTCTAAATGAGAGTGAGCGAGGTGGGCGCCGCCGCTTGAGGCTTGCCTTGACATGTACTGCTCTAATTGCTACCTGAGTCCTGCTGCTGCCTCCTTGAGGTGGCTGTTGAATAATGACAACTCGCTTACCTTACTAAGTTGTAGTAATATAGCTAGAGACTAGGACCAGTGCAATGTGCAGAACGAGACTACCAACATAATATGCATCAAATTCCAGCCTTCTGTTGCTCGGAGTCATATAAAAGAGTGGTCAGCCTTCCAACGATCCCAAACAACACTCGATAAGCTCGCGGTATCTTTTGGAGACTCGTCCTTGCCATGGAGATTCTCAGCGAACTGATACTCATCTGGCCTTTCCCTCTCGCGACGAACCCTGTACTTCAATGCTAGCTCAACCACACTTTGGTATCCCTGTTTGGATGCCCAGAGCAAGAGGGTATTTCCCTTTGCATCTCTTGCCTCGGCAAAACGTCTGTCATGGTCAAGAAGCAACTGTACAAGCTCCTCAGTTTCGCAACCCGTATAGCCAGCTCGCTTGCAACTGGGCCCATCGTCTATGATCGAGCGTGTCGTGTCTCCTTGTTCATCGAACAAGCAGCAAAATAGGTGATGGCCCTTATGATTGAGGCTGTCATATCGTGCGCCGCCTGCGAGACAAAGCCGTGTCGCTTGTACGTTCCTTCTGATGATTGCGTGCTCCAGAACAGTCATACCGTAATTGTCCAGTTGGTTCGGATCGGCGCCGTACTTCAGAAGAATATCGACTACTTCGGTCGCATCGCTCCGAACTGCTCCGTGTAACGGCGTTAGGTCCTGTTCGTCGGCATCGTCTACGGCGGAGCCGTACTGAACCAACATATCTACAATTGTTGCCGCACTATGTCCGTTCTGCATAGTGGCGGCTAGATGAATTGGCAAGCTTCGATTCCATGAGTGGAAATTCGGGTCGGCACCTCTCTCGAGCAGTAGCTTGACGCAAGACTCGTCGCCTTCCCACGCAGCAAGGTGCAGTGGTGTGTGGCCGGACGAGTCAAATGGGTGGATATGGGCGCCCGCATCCAGAAGCATGGCTGCCATCGCTGCATCTCCATGACAAACGGCCCAGTGTAAAGGTGTGTGGCCTCGACTGTCGGGCATGTCCATGTTCAATCGTCGACTGCTGCCGGCGTGGTGGCTTAGGAGTGCTCGAAGTACGCCATCATAGCCACACATTACAGCAACAAGTAGTGGTGTATAATCAGTGTCTCTCTCGCGTCTGTTGGTGTTGACGCCGTTCTCGCCCTGGAGGAGTCGCACAGTAGAGGCATGATTATTCCGTACAGCAGCGTGTATCGGCGTGGTACCTCCCTGGGAGATGAGGTCAATGGGTGCGCCCAGCTGGATCAAAGTTCTTGCCACCGACTCATGGCCACACTCGGCAGCAAAATGGAGCGACTGACTAAGATTGTCATGAGCGTGGCTTGTCCAGGCATAGTGGCCCATAATGGTGTTCACAGCCTCACGATGCTCATTGTACAGTGCACAATGCAGAGCTGTGGTAAGGCCACGATGACTTGAGGAGTCATCAAATGACCCCGAAGAGAGAAGAATCGTTAACACAGACGCGTGGCCTCTCTCAGCTGCGAGATCTATCGCGGTCACTCTTATACTACTGTCTGAGGCATTTCGCATCTCTTGCCACTGGCGAAAGACAGGAGTAGCAAGGTCTGCCCTTACCTCGGCGTTCACCGGCGCCGCAAACTCCAACAGGACGCGGACTATGCTGCAGAAGCCTTTCTGTGCCGCAATGTGGAGCGCAGTTGTGCCAGCGTCGGAGTACTTCGTGGTATCAGCCCCCAGACGGAGGAACGAGCGGACCTGCTCTTCATCTCCTAGGCGCGTAGCCCGAATGAGTTGTTCGCTGAGGAATGACAACTGCGACTGATGCCTGACAAGAGCTGAGACTTCCAAGCGTTGCAGCTGGGTTGCCTTGAAAGTGCGGGAGCTGTGCTCGAGTAATCGATCTCGGGGCGATTCTCTCTGTCCAGCCTCCTCGTTTCGTGGCACTCGAAGGAGTCGTCCGCCTTTATTAGCAGCAAACTGGGGATATGTAGGGACTAATTCGTCGGGTAAAGATGAACCAGTACTAGTATCATCTCTAGAAACACTGGCGCATCGAGAGTAGGTCGTGCCTACAGCTATCCTTGATTGATCCCTCTTCGGCCCTGGCTGTTGGGAAGGATCGCCGTGGCTATAGCTTCCAAGACATGACTCCGTGCTGTTGGAATCAATAATGAAGCAGTCTGCTGGCTGCTCTATATGTATACAGTTTGGTTGTGGAATTGAGAATGGTAGGATACAGCCGCCAAATGGTGCTGGAGTCGGTACTTGCAGTTCAGATGTTAGATCCACAAGCAAACCCCCGGAGGTGCCGTGTACCGCAGAAATAGGGGCGGGAATAGCCGGGTTCTCGTCTGGAATCACAGTTTCGGGCCCGGGGTCATGCGGGACGGCTTTATTGGCACTGATAACTACTGTTGTTTCTGTGTCGCCTGTCGGGGATGGAGCGGGGGTGTAATACTCGATGCCAGAGGGCGTGGCGGCAGCTACATCGACGATGGTATCAAGATCAGCCGCCACAATACTTATGGTGGCAGTCGCTCACCTAGACTCCCTAAGATGGGTTGGTAGGCAGCCAAGGCGTTGTAACTCACCTGGTGAAGAGCAACTCTGTGGCGTAGAGCCCGAATCTGGTGAAAAAGTATGCCTCTGCCGCTTTGCGAAGCGCTCCAGCTTCCCTGGCGAGACTTGACGTTTTCTCACTAGGAAGTCTGTGCGTTTGTTGAGCGTCTTCATCCGCTGCCGTCGAATGCGGATCATTGCCTTCATCTCCTCGGCTTTGACGTTCTTCGCTAGTCCCCAGAGCTTGAACTGCGTCTTGTATTGCTTCTCTCTAGATGTCAAACTCGTCAGACTCGTCAGAATGTCTCCCGTGTGCTCGTCAATATAGTGCGGCTACAATGGCACGGACAGGAATTGGGAGATGTCCACTGACGTCGCAGAAAATCCATGATCGGCCTTCATTATGTCCATAACCTCGGCCAGACCCCTATTTTCCAGCCAGTATAGCTTGTAGACTGTTCCCTGATAGAGGTCCCACTGGTCTCGGCACTTTGAAAATGCTTCGCCATGGTTTACCAAATGCCCTGTGGCGCGGGGCATCCTGGAAAAGTCGTGAGAAAGCGTGTGGACAAACATGAGACAGTTCTACCCTCGTACCCTCCGGTTTGTTTCTCTTCCTATAAGAAGACAAACAAGACAACGACCCTGGAGCGTTTGCCGTGACTTTGGCAGTGCTCATATGCACTGGCACTGGCACTAGCACTCGCCGAAGGGCCCAGAGCCTGTATATGAGTTCAATCAGAGTAGCACTTCTGCACCCCTAGGCGAACCATTCAGGAGCTAGATGCAGGCAGACATTCAAGGCGTCCAAACCCAGAATTATACAGAAGTAGATATAGTGCGATTGGATACGTTCTCGGGACGTAATCTGGATTTGGGCTGTACGAAGGGCTGAAAATCTATACTATAGGTATGTAGTACCGATTCTCAGCCCTTGTAACAAAAGTGCCAATGCGTAGTACGGCAGGGCTCATCCATCCATCAAAAAATGCCGTTTCCTGGAGACCGGCCTTACGGCCCAAATAGCCGCAGGCCCCCGACACACATCATGTCGGTAGATCACGGTGCATACCTCACTGAGAATATCTTTGCTTTGGCCTTGTGGTCGGTCAAGAAGATTTACCATCGAAAATGTGTGCCTAGACACCCAATTATCACATGATCTCCAAGTGCAGTGATTGAATGCTCACCACCCTTGGCAAGGTTCTGACCAGCTGCGCACGACCTTAGAGACCCCATGTTATCGATTAGCTTCATCCCCGGATGGCCGACCCGGCTTTCTCATGCTAAGGTCTGGGATTACTCTCATTCATTGAAGCAAGACCCAATTCATGTTACTATGGTCCCGGCTTGAACTCCGGCAGCCTCAGCTCTAGCCTTGTTCGACCAAGGGAATTGCGGGCGGGCCTTGAGTATTATATACTGACACGATTTCGGAGACGCTTAGCTCACCACGACCCGTCGATCAGGCTGAGCTGCATAGTACGCTACTTGAGACTTTTGTGTTTCCGTCCGTCCATCTCTTTGCGCTCGCCTTTATCTAACCCACAGACGACATTGAATTTCATACCTCAGCATCGCTATCCCGGTTTCTGTCCATAAACAACATAGCTGGGAAAGAGACCGAGTTAGCAACGTTAGCAGAATGGACAGAAGTCTGTGAAACCTACATTGGCCAATAACCATGAATGTATCTGTTCCTCATGTCATTCCTAACCTTTGCAGAGAAGATATCGACTTCTTGCCGCGTCCAGCCAAGGGCACGAGTAAATAAAGCCATGCTGAGGCCTGAAGCTCCTCGGCCAAGATCTTCATATGTCCACATTCCTATCAACGGTGACCTATTAGCGCCCAACTTCTGCTACTTGGCGTCGATGCATGGAGATTCTACCAACCCATTTCCTTGAATTTCTTGTCTCTTGGCCAAGGGTTCGAAGGCCATTTGTATATGGTCTCTTTTACATTAATGAACCCGGCATCTGTCAGCTGCTGCTTGTAGAACTTCGGACTGTCTAGGGGGCAACCAAAGATGGCGGCAGCCTCTAGCATGTAGTCCGCCCACTTCTTGGCCGCGCTGTCGGGCGGCACCGTATCGTCGTCGCTTTTGAAGTCAAGATAGATGTCCGCAATTTCAATCCATCCACCAGGACTGAGGTACCTAGGGTTTACCAAGTTAGCACGTTCTCATTGGCGAAGGCGTCGTTGCGTCGTTGCTATAGAGGCGAGAGCCAAGGGTTCTGTTTACTCAAAACTCTGGCCCATAAACTTAGGCCAGTCCCGTAACGAGCCCGTCAGCATTCGCGCGTATATAAAGTCAAACTTGGTCGAGAAGGTCCATTCATCCTCAAGATCATCGAGGTAAAATGTCAGATTCGGAGGAACACTGTATTCGAGGGAAGCGGTACGGCAGGTCAGCAGCTTTTCTGATGCCCAGCAATCAAGGCTGTTGAGACACACAAGGCAGGTTGGATGGGGCTGAGGTCCACTCCCGTGACCTGATGTTTTCATTTTTATTTTAGTGATGGTTCTTGGTCTCCATTGATCATTCACGATGTGTGACGTACATGCGTTTCCGGATGGTCATCGGCTGGGAATGTCAGTTGGCACGGCATTTTTGATATGTTGTAAGCCTGCAACGTACCAAAATCCGTGGCCCAGATTCCTGTTCCGGTACCCGCGTCCAAGACGCGATTAAGAGGCTTGTCCTTGCCGGCAGGGCATGTGTACAAGCTCTCGTCGAAAGTCATGACAAAGAGATGATGCTGTAGGTCTAATTGAACAAGATCAGCCAAGACAATCATGTCTGTGTATTGGCAGTGAGGAGGGGGCTGATGCCCGTACCTAGCCGGTTGTTCTCGTCCTGCTCCCTGGCGATTAGCATACGAGCCAACCATACATGCCATTACTGAGAACCATCAAGGTCCGAGATGGGATATGACTTACCTCATCATTTGGCAAGACATATCCTGGGCCTTGTCAGTATGGTGGATATCAGAGATCATTTGGTGGTAGTGTCTCACGTCCTGCTCGAAATGCATGATATGTTCTTCCATTCTCCTCACGATATCGCATTATGCTCGAAGTGACAGATGCCGACGAGCTGGTCACGGACTGCCGACCCGAGGTACAAGTCAATCATTTATACTTTCAAAGCCATGCCTATCTTTCTCCATTGCCGGCAATTGGACATAAGCTCACCTCCCCGAGCGTGGAATCCAGGTCATCGTGGTCGTCAGTCTAGAGGCGGTGTTTCAGCTTTTGCGTGAAGTCAGAGCGGCCTAGTAATAGGAGCACCACGAACGTCAGCTACTATGGACTCAATGTTGCCTGTCGGCCCGGAGCCAGACATAGTTGGTCTCACTGTCGTCGTTGACAATGAATACGGCACTATGGATCTTCCAAGATCAGAAGAGACGTTCCTTGGCGTAGGTTTCAAGGTGAGAATTAACAATGTGGAGAAGCAATGTTGTTGCGAAGCAAGGGAGGGGTCGACATAGGTTGGGTCGCGTTTCTTTCCACCCTGTCAAGCACCTAGACTGAGCTGGTAATAGTAGAGAGGAGGGCGCAAGTCAAGCCAAAAAGGAAGTACTTGTACGTATCTTGCATTGCGTGTATATGTATGTACGTACCTGCAAAGCACTCAATTTTGTGATATCGGTGGGCCTGGTGGCTTTAGCATTGGCACATCGAGAACGGTGAACAGAGAACACGGCCACAGCCACCGACACCCGAATGAGGAGGCTGTCCGTGACTCCCTGTCTAGCCTGCAATGGCAATCGCAATGACATAACTCTAGCACCGAAGTAATTGATAGGCACCGTATTGTGTGGTTCGGTCACGATTGTGAGAAGTATCAGTGCCCACTTCCCAGACAGACAGACATCTGCAGAGTAGAAATGACACATTTGATTGCTTCCAACATTACCGAAACTTTGAGTTCCTCATGCCTATGGCTATGCCCTATCAGTGAGCAGGCATTCTCGGTTGGTGGTGGTGGTGGTGGTTGTCGCATCAGCTGCAGAACTGGGAGGCATGTCCGCCAACAAGGGTCCCAGCATCCCACCCTACAGGCGGGTCCCGGCTTGAACTCCGGCAGCCCCCGGCGAGCAGCCCCGGACAGCGGACCAGGAGCTTTAACCTGGTTCGACTTAGCAGAATGCGGGCGGACACTCCCTAACATTAACATTAACCCAACACGGGTCGGAGCTAGCCTCTGACCAGAGCAGAGCAGATGTGTTAGTGTCGGTGGGAGTCGACTCGGTCTCTTGCTCTCCCTCTTCCCCCTTCCACCACAATCAATGCTCGATTGTCTTCAGGCCTCCCCTGCCTCGTCGATTATTTGCTTTTGCTTGCTTTTTGCTGTCTTTTTGTCTGTGCTTCAGTGATTCAGATATTCGGCAAATTGACGACCTCTTCTTGTCCTTCTTCAGCGCTCCTAGCTAGGTAGAGCCGCCACGATGATAGGCGATAGGTGGCTCATCCCGCCCCTCGGTGTGGTCGTCTTGCTGCTCCTCGCCTGGAGCGTCATTGCCACATTGCGCCAGTACTTCCGCCTCCGGCACTTCAAGGGACCCTTCAGCACCGGCATTTCCAAATTGTGGCTCATCCGCGCTGTTGGGGGAGGCAGGACTCACCTCGATTTGTACGAGGCGTGCGAGAAATATGGTTCGTCGATTCATCCACGAACGTTACCTGGTCTGGTGTAGTGTGGTGGCAGACACAGCAAAGCTCACCTCGTCCAGGCTCGATTGCGCGTGTGGGCCCCGACTACCTCATTACCAGCGACCCAGACCTCATGAAGCGCATGCTCAACGTCCGCACTCCCTACAAGCGCTCCGACTGGTACAATGGCATGCGACTTGACCCGAGCCGAGACAATGTTCTCTCGATGCGAGACGACGATCTCCATGCCAAATTGCGCTCCAAGATGGCGGCAGGTGTAAGTTAATGATATGGTGGAATTACCCCTTGGTGCCAATCCAGACAGCCAGCAAGCCAGCCTGCTTCTGCATCTTGAACGCTGACTTACTTCTCCCGCCCTTGTTTTAGTACTCTGGCAAAGAGGTCGAGAATCTCGAGGCCAAGATTGACCAAAATGTCCTTCGCTTGATTGACCTCATTGAAACCAAATATGCTGCAACCCGCCAGCCCTTCGATTTTGGCCGCAAGGCGCAGTACTTTACCCTCGACGTCATCACCGACCTTGCGTTTGGAAAGCCTTTCGGTGACCTGTCTAGCGATTCGGACGTTTACGAGTACATAAGGACGCAAGAAGAGAACATGCCTGGCATCATCGTGAGCACGGTAATACCCTGGATGCTGACCATTCTGTCATCGCCACTCTTCAAACGCATGCTCCCATCTGACAAGGACCTGATTGGGATTGGGAAGACCATGGCGTAAGACCTTCTAGTTCCCCTGCCCATTGGGTGTTGTTACTCACTGGCCATGTCAAGTATTGCCAAACAGGTTGCTGCAGAACGGTTTGGGCCCGATCGCAAGGTTCAGAAGGACATGCTTGGGTCATTCGTGGCTCGCGGCCTTACGCAAGACGAGGCCGAATCTGAGATCCTCATGCAGCTGTGAGTTTATACAGCCGTGTGCTTTAGGACCAGATGTCTGGTGGCTTCTAATTTGACTGACACGATCCTTCCTAGCCTGGCTGGTTCTGACACAACTGCAACTGCTGTCCGCGCCACACTGCTACATATTGTCACCAATGCACGGGTGACCAGCTCCCTGCGCGCCGAGATTGAGGCCGCTAAGCCATCCTGGCCTGTCATTACTGATGCTGAAGCACGAGAGATGCCTTATCTCCAGGCGGTCATCAAGGAAGGACTCCGCATCTGGCCACCCGTCGTTGGACTGATGGCCAAGGAAGTGCCCAAAGGGGGTGATGTCTTCAAGGGCCAGTACCTCCCAGAGGGCACGCATATTGGCTACTGCGCCTGGGGCATCTTCCGCCGAACGGATATTTGGGGAGAGGATGCGCAGGAGTACAGACCGGAAAGGTGGCTCGAAGGCACACCCGACAAGCTGCGGGAGATGGAGGGAACTCTGGAGCTTGTGTTCGGATACGGCAGGTGGCAGTGCTTAGGCAAGAACGTGGCTCTGATGGAATTGAATAAGGTTTTTGTTGAGGTAAGCTGTTCTATCTTCCCTGATCGAGATCTGAACCTTGCACTATGCGCTTACTATCGCATTCCACGCATTGCCCCTGGCCACGACAATGACTAATACATTCTTTTACTAGCTACTGAGACGATTCGATCTTGTTCTTGTCGACCCTATTAACCCCTGGCGTTCGATTAACACCGGCATCTTCTTGCAATCTGAATATTGGATGAAGGCTTACCAAAGGCCTCATGCCGCTAAGTCGGCGGTCGAATGAGCTTCACGATCATGGAAAGCACACGTGGTTATGACAGAGATGACGAATATGCTCACGTTTTTCAATTTATTGGTTCATATGTTATACAGGCTGGTCGGTGGAGTTGGGTACGTGTACTTGAAAAATACCGTCTTCAGCTCCTCTAATGCTCTGGCCTTCATCTTGTGTTCTAAGACTTTTGCGAACTTGGCTCGTATTTTGATTCTAGTCAGGATCTCAAAGACCTGATCTTCTGAGAACGGAGTGGCATCGAAGCCACGAATCTCGACATGCTCTAATATCCGCAATTGGTGTTCTATCTCCATAGCAAGGACCTCAATTTCCGGTATTCCTATAGGACGATTAGCCACAAATGTGTATGTGATGTTTTCTGTAAGATGGTCAAGTATACCGCAGCAGCAAATAGGGCCTAGTTTTCCTATTAGTCAAGAACCCTTGACAGACTGCGTTAGTCAAAGAACCTCACCTGGATTCTCGAAAACTAGTCTGATTTTCAAAACAATTTGGGGCAGATCGAGCATCGTGAAGGCACGGATCTCCCAAATATTGAACCCGGGGCGTTTCCTCATCTCAATCTCGTTCGTAACGGTAGTATGGAGAATTCTATTCATGTCGTCCTCGTCATCAAGGAAACATTTTGCTGGTCCCATTATCATCAAAGCTTGTAGACTAGACCAGGATGAATGATTGCTCACCTCTTGCAATGATATCTTCAATTTCGTCCGCATCTTTTTCTTGGCCTAGCTGACGTTTCGTTTTGATATCAGGGCTAGTTGATTTGCTGTCTCCCACAACTAGATGGAAGTATTTCACTATCTTCATATATAACCAGACCCTCCTTGGAGGGCATCTCAGATATGCTTCCGTAAGCAAGTCGCGGTTTCGTTGACGAATGTCCTCATCGACTCCCTGTGACCATGAATCGATCTTAACACGCAACACCCACATACGTTTCGACTGCTCAAAATCACCCCAGAACTCAGTTGGGGATCCACCTAATAGGGCACCGGTCAGTGATTTACAGTATCCCTCGAAAAGTAAGAGGTTAAAGGTATATACCAAGAAGTGCATGAGCGACCAGTAATTTATTGGGAGATGATGAGCAATCTTCTCCCATCTTTAGACCCTCGCGAACCACATATGTGATCCAAAATTGGTGGAACTCTCGGTCGTAGGATTCATCCAGGGGCGCCGCCTGCCAAATTGATTGTTTGTTTGAGCCCATGGCTTTCATCAGCACGTCTAACCGTTGCAAAAATTCCAGCCTTTTATCGCCATCTTCCACTTTCACATGCTTCCCAATCAGCTCTGGACTTGCCGTCATATACCACTCTAGACTTCTGAAGAAGTTTTCCTTCGAAGCGAAGACAATGTTTGTACTGGTAAACGCGTTGTCGAAGAAAAGCCCATTAATCTTCCAAACATAGATCTGCTGAATAGGGAAGAAACTGAAGCAGAATCTGTCTGTAAGCTTGTGCGTTCCATCCTCGCCTTCTGCGAGCCTGGCCGTACCTCGGATGATCGTTGAGTAAGAGTTCCGGGCCTTCTTGATTGGCAGATCGAAGAGTAGACTGGATTTCAACGCCTCATGCCCGAAAATGTTATCCACCGCAACAGCACGGAGCTCGTTTCTAATTTTCTTCTGCTCAGGGTCCGCATCCTCCTCAGGTACAGGAAAGAGGGAGCTTCGAAGAATAATGATGAGCTTCGGCGAGATCGGTGCGAATTCGTGAAAATTGATGAATGACACTATGCCAGGCTGTTTAGTTCGGACATCATTGGCGTATAGAGATCGGCCCTCAAAAACATTGAAACATGCATCCGTGATAATGAACTCATCCGATGGATCCTCGGGGGTACATATGGACATATAAAAAGATTGTGTGTGCATGATGAACATTTCCGCATCGGTGCGATACATGCTCTTCCGGACCGTTTCCATCCACGCTCCTGCAGGATCCATCTCCAGTTCCATTATAGTCTTAAGGTTATGGAACCATACGTCGATGGGTCGAACGAATCCTTTCTCAGCGATGTATTCCAGGAAGATTTCTCTGTCATCCGAGTCATATTCCTCGGGTGTAGGATGACAAAACCGACGATGATAGCCCGACCCCCGGTATTTCAACAAGAACAAGAACTTCCGGACCTCGTTCCGCTCCTTACGCGTGAGCCACAAGCCGGAGTCACCCGCCTCGAACCCCTTTGTGATCTTTCGGAAGATACCACTGACGCGAGATTCTAGACAGCCGAACATGTTTTCGATATGCTGCTGCTTGGGAGGAGGTTGATTCGTGTCTTTGTACATATCCATCTGTCCAAGAACGCGCTTCACCGGCATTTCAACCAGCTCGATCGGATCTTTGGTTAATGCCGCACTATGAACAACTGGGTCTCCCGGAAATAGCTTTACATCCTTGCGCACACTTCTCTTGCGCCATTTTTTGCCTTTTGGGGCGCTGTTAGGAGTCGTTGCATCCTCGTACGGATGGGAAAAGTTGCGAAGAAGAAATTGAGGAACGAAGTGTTGGTACATTGTTGGCTGTTGTTCGTTGATTACCGCCGAGGTGGATTATCTTGATGATCAATCGTGTGGAATGATATAATTTCGCCAGACAGTATCGTCACGCCTGCGTTTGGTTTCGGCAATTTCCTCCTCCCTCTTGAATTTCTCCCTGTACCTTCTCTGCGACAGCGGCCTCAAACATTGGCCGAACACGTTGCTTCTTAGCAATCCCATTATCACATCTGCGTGGAGAGGTATTGGAGGGAAATGTGGGGCTTCTAGGCCTCAAATCGTGAGAGAACCAATGTGGTTTGCTGCTTTCTCTCTTGGTGTAGGTAATGGTAGGCCTCCCGCAGCTAACGAATCACGAGGCAGGATGTTATCCCTACGGTCTCTCGTGTGACTTACATTACTACTACTTGCTTTAGACTTGCTTACTACAACCTTCACTTCTTACACAAGACTTGTCACAAGTGAGACAAGTAATCATGGCTCTGATTATACTTACGGTGTCGTGTTTGCTTTGTGATAATACCGAAGGCTGCCTGTCAAGGGCAGTGTTTTGAACATGCGCTATGATTCTGAAGAGATATTGATCAGCAGCAGATGCACTCTTGTTGGACCTCCTACCTGAGAGAATAGAAAGAACAAATTAGCATTGCTGTCAACCTCGTCTTCTGTCCCTTGAAGAAGCTTGAATTTGTATCATAGAAATAAGTCCATCAGAGCCTGTGCCTGTAACCATTAATTCTGGCCGAAAAAAAAAAAATTTCAAGAGCACACGCTCATGACACAAACGAGGAATATGCTGGAGTCTGACTTTGCATCATGGGAATAAGGTTTGGTTTCTTGGATGGGATCATGTGTTAAGGCTGGCATAGCATCGACTTGGCTCTCATGAGAAGATTCTGTCTTACTTCCGCCCCTTGAAGCAATTCTTGGACATCTCGTTCGCGAGCGTGTTTGGTATTTGATACCTCTTCACTTTTACACATTTACTGGAGTAGTATCAGGGCACTGCAAGGAGAACACAAGAGACACAAGGCTGAACCAAGGGTGAAGCTGTAGAGTCTGTCTGTCCTGGGTATAGCAAAAGTATGTATGTATCTGTCTAAGTAGTAGTAGTAGTACAGAGGGTGGTAGGTGGCTAAGGTAGGTGGGTGCAGGTAGTAGAGGTCATATGACCTAACATACCCCCCTCCAAGAAGGGTGACATCTATCCTTAGATGTCTAATTAAAAGTATAAAATAATGTAAACAGTATGTGACCTATCCTTACTAGCCTTCTAGTTGCTTATTATCCTGATTTTCTTTATTGTTAATCATCTAATTGTCTCCTGTTTCTTGGTTATTATCCTAGTTTATATCTTGACTATCTCTAGCTTTATGATTGTCGTTATAGTCGTAAGGTCCTAGCTGGAAGGTTTACTTCTGAGTAGGGGGATGTAGTTGGTTCTTGATAAACTTCTTATAGTCTGCCTTCATCTTCTTCTTCTTCTTTTCGTTATATGTAAATGCTTTGGCTGATAGATATATAATGTCCTTACCTTTACTACCTACAAACTCATCGATCTTATCATTTTCATCGTTGTTGGTAGAGATTTCGTCTTGACTGAAGGTATAGTCATTATTAAGGACTGTATATGGTTCTAGTAGATAGTCTTTGATGGGAGTAGCTGATATAGTAATAATAGAGACAATTGAAGGTATAATATTTGCCTTTTTCATTAGGGTGGTAATATTGTCATTAGTGGGAAGATTGTTCTTAGTAGTCGTTTTAAGGAGGTTATAGAGTATATAAGCCTTTATCTTATATTTATTATTCTATGTCTTAAAGATGGTAGAATTCTCTACTTATTTAGAGGCATCCTTATAGTAGAATTCTTACTGATTTTCTCCTTCTTTGGTTATTTTTCTCTTAGGTAGATTATTTAGACAAAGGGGCATATAGTCCCTTTTGTTAGGGTAGCAACATATATGATGACTCTGATGACAATGATAGTACTTAAGGTTATTATACTTTCGCTTCTTATATATAATGAAACATTTACTATAAACGGTCTTATAATATTATACCCTCTTGTTGACGACTATATCAAGATTTTGTAGGTAGGTATAGATACTCTATATAAGATGCTTTAGATACTAAAGAGAGCCTTAGTGGAACTTTCAAACGTTAGAGTTAAAGATATAAATCTATCTAAAGTAGGTATAGATAGTCGCTATATTTATAATGTTAGGGTCGGAAAGGAGTAAGCCTATATTGATAGAGTGAGTATAGACTAAGACGATAATGTCTACTTTATATTCTATAGCTGTCGTAATGGTATAGATATTGACTGTGTTAGGGTAGTATTTATATACTGAGAGTTGAGTAAGGTAGCCCTTAAGGTTTTATACTATAGCATTGTAGGGTGAGATGACGAGGATGCTGGCTTAATTTCCGTTTAAACTATAGATGTTTATGATGTGGATCTATACAATGAGCTGTATGATATATGTCGCTATGATAGGGTTTTAGACACTGTGACTGATAATCTCTTCCTAGCTATATTCAATGTTTACTTTAATTTCAACACCTATAAAGTCATCCTTTTAGGTGATCGTCTATATTAGTCGAACTGATTCATATAGGGCTGGATGATCCTCTTTAGAGTCATAGAGAGAGTCTAAAGATAAGTGATAGATAGCGTCGGATGTCTAAGTCTCTAATCTACTATATAACCAATGGTTGACAAACAGCCAATTGACTTATTGTCTAGCCTCCTCCCAGCATTGAGGAAATGGGTATATAAGCTGACAGACGAAGGGGTTAGAATAGTTAGTATCCTTTTCAGTAAGGACTAGATTCTAGATTTGAAGGTAGTTCTTTATTAAAAGGTAAACTTTGGCTAAATCCTTGAAGGCTATAAAGAGAATATATTATTTAGTCTTAACGATATGACCAGCTTCTTTTATGATGGTTATAGTAGGGTAGAATACCTTATAAGTAAAGAGTTGATATATTATGACGAATATATATATAAGGGTATCTATGGTTAAAATAATATAGTCAAAGACTTATATAAGATATTTGTCAAGTAGCTTTCTTGCTTACTATAAGAAGTTCTAAGGGCTTTGTCGACGATGGTTAAGGCTTACAAAAATGTTGGTATAGTTAGGATCTATATAGATTCAATATCAAACTGCCTTTATAACTGTCATAATGCTACTATAGAGTTTGAACTTAAACTTGTCTATACTTTAGTTAAAGTCTTATATATCTTTAGATGATAGGAGGAGATTATATTGATTGATAAAGTTAAGTTTGTCGTCGTCATCGAATATAGGTAGGTCTTTATTAATATTAGTGTGGACAATTATAGAATGTTTGTAAGGGATGGTATTAAGTTGGTAGATTTTAAGGTTTATATCTATAGATTTTGTAAGTTTATAGTATTTGATTATAATATCGTTTATGTTCTTATTCTAGTTGCTGACGAAGATAGCCTTAAGGATGTCTAGCTTAGTAAGCTTAGCGTCGATAGATGTTGGAGGGAAAGTGTTTATATCGAAGATAGTGGTATTATTCTGTTTAGTATTTTTCTTATTGTCTTGAGTAGTGTCTTAATTAACACTTTCCTAACCTTTGATTATAATAGGCTAGATATATAGGAGGTAGATTATGTTAGATAGGTGAATGATATCTACAAGCTTATCTTTAGGGACCTTGGCTGCCTATATTATAAGCATTATAAGCAATGCTAAAGAGGTCTTTCTGCTTCTAGGTCCTCCTATTGTCATCTAAATATCGTAAGGTAGGTGATAAAGACTCTTGATCGTCTATTGTTGGTGGTCATTGAGGTTTAGGACCTTTTGTATAAAGGCATCCTCTAATCTAGTCTAAGGTCCTATAGGAGTGGTGGTATCGAATAAGGTAAAGATTGTCTAAAAGATAGGGAATCGCTTTGTTACATCATAAAAAGGAGGGGTCGTTGTAAAATCAGTGAGCTAGGTAAATAGGCTGTCATCATAAGCATTTTCCTTTATATCTAAGTTAGCTTTTAGGTTAGCCTTTATGGTTTTATCATATATATTGTAGAGAATCTATATATTGACTTAAAGCCTTGTGTTTTCTGCTAAGTTATATATCTATGTGGGAATGTTGGCACCTTTATTAGGTAGCTTAGGGAAGTTAAACTTAACGAAGGGATGAGAGTTTTTCAACTCCTTAGGCTAGAAGGGGTGCTTAGGGATGTATATAGCGAAGATATAACTAAGTTCTATATACGCTAGAGGTAGGTCGATACGTCAAGCTAGGTAAGATAAGTATTCGTTAGGCTTATACTCTGGAGTATAGAGAAAACCGATATACTTATTGACTTATTAGGTGAGTCAGACTTGATGCTTTTGTGTGGTTTCTTACTTTTTGTCGTTCTTTTTCAGTCGATAGAGTAGATCTTTTGCCTAGGAGAGAATCTAAGCGGTAGGGATATTATAAGATAAGTTAATAATGTCTATAAGATATGTAGTAAAGTAGGAGATTTTTGTGTTAGGGTTGTATATAGAGAGAATGATAGAGGTAAGGCTGGATTCAAGATGCTTGACAAGTATATAAGCCAACTCGGTAAGATTAAGGGTCTGTAGGAGCTTATTTAGGATAGTGTCGACTATAAAATGGAGCTGATAAGTATCGTCTGTTGATAGAAGGTATTCTTAGGCTTTTTATGATATAATAGCGATTGTATATATTATATAATGTCTGTCGACTTTGGTGCTAGACGTAGGAATGACCAAAGCTTTGTAGACTTGTTTGGTAAGGATCTTGTTATATAATTTTTGGTAAATAAATTCTCAAACAATGGTGTCTACCATTATTATATGTAGCTGATTATAGGATCTAAAGAATGTTATTGATATTGTTTGGTTGATGACCTTATTGTCTTCTAAGGCGAATTCTATGATGGTCTTTTTGTAGGGAGAATAAGAGGATTTACAATTAGCAACTAAGGTTATAAATAGATTATCTATCATATTTATATAATCGAAGAT